TTATGTGAGTTGGTGGTTTAAACCGCCAGTAGACGGCCCCAGCCTTGGTGAAACAAAACTCAACGCCTACGCCAAACAGATTGGGGACGCGCTGCCATTGATAAATTTCATCAACATCCTTTGTTGCGTTTCCAGCCTCCAAAAGTTGCGGTGAGGGGGCCCCGCCCAATGTAAGGCCGTGCATTGGTCCTTTAACAGAGTTTTCTTTTCTTTTTCTCACTTTCTTTTATGCTCTTTTGCGTTTTCAATAAATCATTCTAAAACCCCCATAGGCTGAGCATCGGATCTTTCAGATTCAATGGTGATCATGTGTCACTAACGCCACACTGTACTAAGATTCTAGACTAAACCCCCGCTAGTGGGCATGGCCCCTTAAGTCACTCTTAAGAAGGTATCAGCGCCCATCTGACAGCCTGCAACTTTGGCTCCAGCTACTGACATTCTTAAGGCCAGGACCCACTGCATGGTCGAACGGATTTCTTGGGCGGCTGTGCCGTGGGGTCCACAGACTTTAACCACCTTTCCCATATACCGGCTTCGCAAAAAAATAGAGTAGAAGTGTTTCTAGTCAGACGAATTTGGGCGCTCCAGTAGTGGCCCATTCGTTCATCATTGTCGCGGTTTGTTAACCGCCGCAGCTTTCGGTAGTAGTGGTGGTTTAAGCTAGAGACTTCCCCGAAAGAAATAGGGGCTCCACATCAAAAGCAAATTCTTTTTTTGTTGAAACAGTCAGTGCAAATTTTGGACAAGTAGGCTGCCAGTGGACCAGCGTGTTCCGGGCCGCACACGGGACTCTCTAAGCTAGATGCCCTAACCCCCTACTCTTCCCCCAACAGTTACTGTAGCATTCTCTTTGGGGGTTTGGTGGACAAGAGGCCAGACTCAGGCATCAGATCTAGTATTGCCCCTGAGATGGCAGGTGTTTTTTTGGGGAACATCAGTGAAGGCGTACCGTCCTCAGGGCTTACTCACATTAGGACTTTTTTTACATATTTCTAGACACAGTTTTGGTCAGATACATCCAGCTCTGGCCTTAAATTAGGTCAGATACATTTAGATAGTGCGTATATCCTCAGGCAGGGATATGAGCCCGTGCGTGGTGAAAGTGTCACTGTTTTGATGGCGCTGATCTTATTCATGGGAAGCAGCATGCGCTGTGAATCGGGCTCAGCATCCCTTTCACACAACACCACTGTTTAACCACTGCAGCAGATGGACTGGCTTCATCCGGTCAGACTGGGGCGCCAGGTACCCGGCGCCAGGTATCAGTTGATTGCGTTCCTGCTGTGAGCAGAGCAGGCCACACTGGAGCTATGTTTGTGCTATGCTAGCAGCAGAACCTGGCCCTTTTGTGACCAGATTCATGTTCACCAAGCATAAAAATCGCCCTACAGCCCACTTCCCTTAGGCTGCCTCTCTGTGCACCCTCCAATATCTGGCTCTCTCATTCCTGTTCCCTTCTGCTCCTAGAAAGATGAAAGGAGGTAGCACCTAACCTTATGAGATCCATCTGATTGCTTCGAGATTCGAACCCATGACCTGTCTCATGGGAAACAGTTGCATGTGTGTACATAAAAAAATAATATCAGCCTCATGGGCTGCTTGCTACCTAAGCCCTTGATAGGACCTCTCTATGGGCCCCAGAAGCCACCTCCCCACCCCCCCCAGGAAAAAAGGCTCTCTCATCCCAAGACCAGTCTAGGAGAGGCTTCCATTCAGAGAACCAGAAGAGCCCCCTTGTTCCCCACCATCACCACTGCCCAACAGCACATTTCCACCCCTGACAGGTTTTCAGGGAATTGGACCAAACCGGAGCTCTGACTACATTACTATGATCGT